AACTGCTAGATGCTGTTGTATCTACTTCCATTAAATACACTGATGCAATGAATGGCACACTTCATTGAGAAGACCAACATTTTAATACTTAAAGCAGTGATTACAGTCCCATATGTAGGGGACTTCCTTTTTTTTTTTTTTAGACTACAGGAATGCTTGTCTGATAATATAAAGAATTCTGTGCTATAAATATGAACTGATTTATCATCTTGGTAACTAACCTGAATATATTTTCCTAATAATACTGTGGGTGCTGTCTCTTTCATTCTATAACTTTTCCATATGAGATAGTTAGTTATAAAGAGGAAAACTCTTGATCATGATAGAGTCATATAATTTAGAGGAAAAAAGAACAAAATGAGGAATTTTAACTTCAGGGTTTAGAGAACATAAGAATGTATTATTCTTACTACTAAATGATGGCTGAACAAGAACAAAGTTATAAATTTCAGTGAAAATCAATTTTTAAAGGTCTGTTTTAAAACAATATATTATTCCTCTGAACATACATATTTACTCTTGGGAGTTAAATTTCACTGGAGAGCGAAGATATGACTCCACCTGAGTGTTAAAGTAATTGATATCTGACCTGGAAAACTTTCCTATTGAACATTACTAAACACAGATCCATTACTGGTTATTTATTTATTTAGCAAATAAATCTTGATATTTTCATCAAAAGGAGATGGGATATGCTTATTGCATTACTTTATTATTATTAAAATACAACCATCCAAGAATAGGAACTATGCAAAATTGCATTATTTCACTAGAATATATGAATAAAAATCACAAGCGAAATCTGTATAAATGAAAATGTAATAATTCTGTGGCTGGTGAATTATTATTTGTTTTATATACCCTGACTACTCTGCATGAATCAAAGTAGATTTTTCCTTAAATAAGAAAAATGGATAGCTGTAATATAAAAAGTCAATTATTTTTTTTCTTCATGAAGCATAATATAATACACCTCTATAATAATAAGACTTTAAGATTTTGGTGGGCCTCACACATCCCTGAAATAGAAAACAATGCACAGAAGCATATAAAATCCAAAGTATCCTACAAGACAAATTTGAATTTCAACCTCTCTTCTTCAGTCTTATAGAAATTACAAGAGCAATCTTAGTAACTATTGCTGAGGATGAATGAGGCTTATGATAAATCACTGGATAACCAATTTCCAATTTGGTTGGCTCATTATGACAAAACATTTAAAAATTTGGATCTAAATTTCAAAATGAGTTAACTTTGTAATTTTCCCCCTCGGCATCTGTTTTTCATGTGGAAATCCCTAACAGACTGAGTGTGCACTACCAGCTGGCTAGAGAGAACACACTGCATAGTGAACCTCTCCTTGCTCATGACCGCCACCCCTGCCAGGCACAGCTGGGCTGTGGGCGTGGTCACCTGGGAACTTCGCACTGGGTCCTCAGTAGACTGAGTGAAGGTGACCTGGAGCTGGGCAGGGTTTCTCAGCTGGTGTTTTGTTTGCCAGCTTCCACTGGCAGAATTAAATGTGGTAGCCTCCAAGTTTTAATGATAGTAACCACTTCTTCAGGGAAACTTTGATAGGTAAATTCCCCATCCAAGATACTTGAGTAATAGGTATATGACCTATGACTAGTGGGGGTTTATTTATGTGATTTAAATAAATTAGATATTCTCACATATGAGCTCCATTTCCCTTGCTGCAGTGAAAGCTTTCTTTCTTTCTTTCTTTCTTTCTTTCTTAATTGGTACCTGAGATTGAACTCACGACTGCCTGCTTACAAGGCAGGTCCTTATGCCACTGAGCTAAATCCCCAGCCCCTTGTTTCTTCCTTTTCCTTCCTTCCTTCCTTCCTTCCTTCCTTCCTGTGTGATATCAGTGATTGAACCCAGGATTTGCTCTTCATTTTCAGGGATGGTTTTTCTAAATTGCCAAGCTGCCCAGGCTGGGCTTGAACTTGCAACCTTCCCACCCTAGCCTCCCGTGGTGGTGGTAATTCAGGATGCTCCACCGTGCTCTCCTTTGTAATTCTATTTTATCTCCTGAGGCTTATTGGAATCTCTTCTGAATTCTTCATTACATTCCAGCGGGTGGATACAAAGATGTTTGAGAGAGCGTTCATCTGGAGCTGTTTATGGAAGAGTGAAGCTGAGGGAGAAAAATATGTGTACAAATTCTGAGTATCTTTGGGGATGCAGCTGATTGCACAGGAAAAGATGTTTATTCAGTCAGTAGAGTTGAGTGAGCAAGAACTTGTGCACATTTTATGTGGAGTTGTGTTTACGTACAGGTATCACTATATCACTGTGCAGTCACCCTGATTGCATGAGAATTTGTGACCTACAAAGGTGATAAAAGAAGAATCTTGATTTTTGAGAAGTTCAAGAAAACTACTCTTGTAGTTCTGATTTTGTTTTATGACTCACTTCTCCAGCCACACCTCTAAAACTGCGCAGATAACTAGTCATTATTCTTCTGCCTTCATCCCAGAAGGTGGTTCGGGGAAATCCTTTCATTATTTACAACAGGGGCAAATAATGTCACCCCTTCAGTAGCTTGATGTCAAAGCTCTGTTTCCATAGAGAAAACAACCTTACCCATTCCAGAGCAATTTAAATTCTAGGCTGCTTTTTCTACCTTCCATTCCCCTTCCAGAAGCTGTGTCTTCCCTCTAAGGTTCTCATGTCACACTGTCATACTCTGGCAATTACTAATTATAAAATAATAGAAAACAATAATTAGTAACTTATAATTATCTTCTCTTCCAAAGTATAAGATCCTTTAGTGTGAATTGTCTTGCTCTTGCCAGCAGATCATAATTCATCTTGATAACAGGTTTGATGGAGTTACACGAGACATGAGTCTAGCTCATTAATGTTATTGTTTTTAAACTCTCAGTAGCAACAGTGCTTCCTAAGCCTTAATTAATCGTCACGATTTCTCTTTGAAGTGGGTTAAATATAACTAAACTCATTCTACCAGAAGAGAAATTGGCAAAGTGGAGATCTCAACGACTCCTTCATTACTAACGGATAGCAGAGTAGAAGTCGAAAGAGCTAACTGGACTTATTTCTTGATAATTCTATTAGTGGGCCCCCCATTCAATAAACTACTTAAATATTACTAACAAAACAATAAAAAATTGTAGCAATGAGCAAAACTGTGAGTTCTGAGGAAGTGTTATCTAATTTCTGCTAAAATGATCAAACTAAAGAAGTCGTCATCAGTGGTCATTACCATATGCATTATTACTTTTTGCTCTGTTCTCAAGGTCCCTTTGTTCCCTAGGGATTTATTATTCATTACTAGCTGAATTTATTTAGTATCTTCCCTCTGAAGAATTTGAGACATCATGGAGAAAAGACTCCATAGGACCTAAATTTAATCTCTGTCACATGGAGACAGGGCAGCTCCATGGCAAAGACATGGGTTCAAATCCACGTCCAATCTGCTGTGTATCTTGGGGAACACTGTCTTCTTTTATAATTGTTGTTTTCTAGGGCAAATCATTTTACCTCATAAATCATAGGAGTAGCAAGACAGAGAGTATCTGATACTTTAAAGGTGATTATTTATAGAGGATGTTATTAGTTCTATAAGTCAATGGCTTAGTCCCCTAAGATTTGAAAAAAAGGGGTGAAAGAGCCTTAGTAGGAGATTGTGAAGTCATTAGTGTGTGCATTTAGAGGTTTTTCCTAGCATGATAGTCACTGTTGTGTGGTTCTTCATTTAGTTACTTCTTAAGACAAAAATAGGAAAACAGGTATCAGTGTGTGTCCCTTCTGGTACTCCTGGCATCTGGATCTCATTTGGATACCAGAGATTCAATATTATCAGGAAAGAGAGTTCTGAGAGAGGAGATAAGTGGTGGAAGGAAGTAGAAATAGGGACACAGAAAAAAATCCATCTTCTGTCCATTGCTGGTGTACTGATAACAGAGAGAAAGCTGACACTTCCCATAGGTCTTTCCCTCATTTTGTTTCAGACCTTAGCTTTCTAAATTATAGAAACCTGCAGGTATAAGGAACATCATACATCTAAGGCTAGCTGTTATGGATTGAGAACTGATGGCCAACTTAACGCCAGCTGGATTACATCAGCATGCACCGAGCGAAGATGCTCCACCTGAGGAGGGTTGCCAGGATAAATAGGTGGAGACGGAGAAGGAGGTTATTAAGGTGTTGAGGCATTAATGCGTTGTTGCATTGAGGCATTGTGGATTCTCCCATGAGTTGCTGTTTGAGCCACTGGTTCTCCTGGAGAAGCTCTGGTCCTCACATCGAGCATTGCTTCCTGGCTCCGGAGGGGAAGACATGTACTGCTTGGACTCCAGGAAGTACTCGTCATGCTGCTTCCTGGCATGTACCTGACTGTGCTTTTTGTTGGAGGGGCTTGGGGCCTCCGTGTTGCTGAGGACGGCTGTGATGCCTTTCAGGATAGCCCTGGTCTTTGTTGTGAGTGTGACTTCTCGGCTCCAGCATAGAACCCTCATCCCACTAGCACAGCTCCTTCATCCTGCTGGCATAGACTTTCTGGCTTCCACTGCTGACCCTTGGGTCTTCTCGGCATGGATCCATAAAAGAGACTGGCGTGAGTCCTTCTTGTGGGCTCTGGACCTCCAGTTGGACTCATGGGAGGCATTGTCCTGAGCTCTGGGTTTTTATCTGGACTCATGTGGGACATTGCCATGGGGTTTAGGCTCTTGACTAAATAATCTATGTCTTTGGTGTTGCGGATAGATTTCCTGCATTTTCCTGTGTTAACTTCTGGTGACCATTATAAAAATATTGTAAATTCCATGTCCTAATCCTATTTGTTCTCTGTGTACAACCCCTGACTACAACCCTAGCCTTACTTAAAACTCTAAAAATAGCTTTTCATTGCTACTCATCAGATTATAACAACAGAACCCTAAAACAGAAATAACAAATCAAATACGAGAAGCCTGTGTTTGTTTCAGTGGAAATAAAGCAGCAGCTGATAACTTGCAGTTACCGAATCTTACCTGTATAGATGTACTCTGCATATGAAGGGTGAGTTTTCATGAACACTTCTTTTACTTTTTCTGTTTTGTCAGCACTTATTTTTGTTGCACATGGCGTGTACATAACTGAGAAAGATTCAGTTCTGGTGATGGCCTCTTCAATCATAGCCTGAGAGGAAGCAAACAGCTTATTTACATCAATACCAGTACAGGATTTTTTGAGAATGTAAAAAAAAAAAAAGTACATTTTGGAATGATTTAGAAATCTATATACTGTACTACAAAGACAGCATATTTTGGTTTTAAATGTTCATTAAAACAAAATTTTAATTATTTCTGGAAATACTATTTCATATTAAGAAATCCAATTACATGAAGAAAGTTTGTAAATAGGTGCCACTACATTGTGCTTGAGATTCTGTTCTTCAAGGTGTCATTTTTAAAGATGCCCCTCAGAAAATCAAATTCTAAGTTCAATGTTATATTTAACTTACAGATTAACAGATTAACAAACTGGTGGGCAATTTATGCAAAAACTGTTTTCTTTAAATATACCTATTGAACTTTCTGAATTTAAGTATTTTCTATAAAAATCATGCAATCCTAGAAAATCTTTTTGGAATAAAAATGTTTCTCAAAAGCTTCTTCTCGGCAAACCTTTCTTCCCTCCAGATCACAAGTAAGAGTTAGGGTGGATTCGGCTTTTTAAGCATTTCCTTAAATGTACCATTCTTGGTAAAACACTGCCATCAACCTGAGCTTCCTGTTTGAAGTAAGACCACTGATTGCTATTTGGAATGGACCAAAAATGAAAGTTATGTAAAGTTTTGAAAGAAATTTATTCTTTTCTGAAACTTTCCCTTATAGCAAGCATTGGTTGTGAAATAAATTGTGTCTATACTTATTTCATTTTTCTGAAAATGGCATAAAATCATGTTCATTAAAAATTTATGTTTATTTATAGGAATAAAAATTTTCCCTGACAACTAAGAGTACCAACAACCCATAGGAAAAAAAATAGTAATATGAGTTTTTTAAATAGAGAGAAATAAAGAACATTTAACAGACAACAATTTATATTATTAACAGTATTTTGCAAACATTTCTTGTTGAGGTTAAAAGCAATGAGGAGTTGCTAATTTAACTTATTTATTGCCTGGTCTATTTCTCAGTGACTTCAAATGGCCTCTACAATCATCTGTTCTCTATAAAAATATCTTAGTAAGCATTTTGTGGAACCAGAGTCCTCTTTTTTCTGAGACTAGCATTAGAAAATTATGTAAAATTAATGCAGAAAATATTGCTGAGTGAATTTCAATAGTTTCTTTACTTGCCCTCCTCCTCCTCCTCCTAGTTCTCCTCCTCCTCCTCCACTTCCTCCACCTCCTTTTCCTCTTCCTCCTCCTGCTCATTTTTCTTTCAAGGTTCTGGGAATGGAGCCCAGGGCCTTCATGCTAATCTCACCCTGGATCTCATTAGGTGGATAAATTTCCATGACTGCATTACAATTACTCCTCCTGCCTTGCCCTCCCAGAATGCTGGCATTATAGGGGTGTGCCACTCTGCCCAGCATCAATGAGTTTCTGAAGTGCTGAATGACAAAATTGACATTGCCTGTGTCATGGTTTATGTCTGTGTCCCCCAGGCCTCATGAGTTTGCACTGTGCATTTGTGATGGTTCATTGTCTAGTGCTTGGATTGATGGTGTCAGTGCTCCACCCACATAGGGGCAGAGCCACGATGTGATGTAATGGCAGGAAGAAGGTGTGTCTTGCTCTTTGCTGGTTTCTGTTTGCTGTTTGCAGCCACCATGAACCGCGGCCCAGCCATGTCTGCCTGCCTTGGAGCCAACTGAATGTAGACTGAAACCTCCAAAAACTGTAAGAAATAAACCTTTCCTTTCCCAACTTTGGGCTTCAGGTATTTTGTCTCAGCAATGAGTAAAAAGTAACTAAGACAAAATTTGGTACCAGGAGTGAGGTCGTTTGCTGTGACTATACCTGACCATGTTTTTCAAGAGGCTTTGGAAATGGCTTGTTACTGGAGTTTGGAAAGGTTCAGACATGTTGCCTGGGTGCACAGAGCTGGAGCAGCTTAGGCTGTTCTGCAGAGGAGAGTCTGGTCAGAGCTCAGGAGACCAGAAGGCTGATGATAGAAAGCCTCATGGTAAAGACCAGGCTTGGGAGGTTTCTGCTGGGAAGAAGGACTGCATTGGTTGTTGGACTCTACATGATATGTGTTATGGCTTGGCAGAAAGTTTGTCTGCATTTTGCTCCTGCCCAGAGACTTTGCCTGAGACTGAGACAAAGAGCAATGGACTGATTAATCTTGAAAAAGAAATTAAAAAGCAAACAAACATTGAGGCTGTGGCATGGCTATTGTTGGGGGCTTTCAGCCAGATATATGTTTCAAATCAGGAGCAAAGAGCCCAGCAGGATAATTTAAAATGCTGTGAGTTTGGCCAGAAGGAAAATTCCAGAAAGGCTGTGGATTGTAAAGACAGAGTTGAGATTTTGATTCTTGATGGGAAACAGAGAGATAAGAAAGATGGCCCCGGGGCATCCCAGGAATCGGATCCCCACCCTGTGCAGCCTCACAGCAGAGGTGAAAAAATTTGCTCAGAGGGAAAAGCTGTAGAGCATCATGTTTCAGAATGGTGACAGCGGCCACATGAGGTTGCAGAATGGCGGCAATGTAGAGAAGCTTTTTCTCACAATCCTGCAAACAGAGCCCTGCGATCCAGGCAACTGACCACTACAGCCAAAAGAGAGAAAAGCCTGGCTACTGCTTCAGCTGGCAGCAGACCTTGGCAGCATCCACAAGGTGCTGATTTTAGGTGCAAGGAAAATGCACAAACTCTGAGGGTAAGATGGCTTCCCCCTCGATTGCAAAGGGCCTGGCTGGCCAAGCAGTGTGCCCCTGAGAGGGCAATTTGTGAAGATGCAAGGGTGAAGCCAAAGGTGCAGTGGAGACCCCAGAAGTTTGAAAAAGCCAGGAACGTGGATGATCCAAGGAAAGCTGCAAAAGCAAGCAGAGAGGATTTAAGAAAAAAGCTGTGGGAGTTAAAATCACTGGAAGTACCCTGGGGGTGGAATCACCCAAGCCTTTTGGAGCTTGCAACCAGATTGCTTCAGATGCTGAGCATGGAACTCTAGGACTTAATGTTTGTCCTACTGAATGTTGGACTTGCTTTGTTTCCAATGCTTTATATTCCCCTGCTTGTAACTTTTGGAATGGTAATGTTTACCTTGTGCCTTTGCATTTCAGGAATGTTTAACCTTGTTTCATTTGTATAGGGGTTACAGTTAAGAGTTTGTCATAGACCTTGGAGGAGACTTGGGACTTGGACTTTTCAGCAATGCTGAAGCTGTTAGGACTTTGGCAACTCTTGGAGGTGGTCTAAATGTCTTTTGTATAAAGGATGTACATGAGTCCTGGGGGTCAGGGGTGGAATGTCATGGTTTATGTCTGCGTCCCCAGACCTCATGAGTTTGCACTGTGCATTTGTGATGGTTCATTGTCTAGTGCTTGGATTGATGGTGTCAGTGCTCCACCCACATAGGGGTAGAGCCAGGATGTGATGTAATGGCAAGAAGAAGGTGTGTCTTGCTCTTTGCTGGTTCCTGTTTGCGGCTGCCATGAACCACGGCCCAGCCATGTCTGCCTGCCTTGGAGCCAACTGAGTGTGGACTGAAACCTCCAAAAACTGTAAGAAATAAACCTTTCCTTTCCCAACTTTGGGCTTCAGGTATTTTGTCTCAGCAATGAGTAAAAAGTAACTAAGACAGTCTGTTACACTGTCCTTTCCAAGTTCAAGAAATTGAAAGAGAATGAAGGATAGAGTTGTGAGACCAAATGCAGGACCACCACTCAGAGTCAGCAACAGGTTGTGAATCTGCGGTGGGATCTGACTGCAGAGGTACATGCCTATTCTGAAAGGCTGACGTGAACAGTAGAGGCAGCAGGTTGGGAAATCAGAGATGCAGATTGAAAGCTCATATATGGTGTTTAGGCGCCAGGTACCAGTCCTTCACCAAAAATAAACACCCTGTACATAGAGTAGAAGAAAGAACTCCTCTACTGTGGAGCCTGCTTATGTTCACTGCTTTAACCAGTTTTGGGACAGCAAGCAATCGAGTGGAGTGATGGGTGAGGAGGAAAGCTGGTCCAGACCTTAGTGTTAAAGTCAAGGTCTGACTTCAGTGGCTCCTTGGGTTATGGGTTCTTGTACTCACTTTTTAGGGCTGCCATGAAAGAGTACCACAGACTGAGTGGCAGAAGTGTATTTTCTCAGAGTTTTGGAGATTAAAAGTCTAAGATCCACACTGTCTGCAGAATTGGTTTCTTCTGACACCTTGTCTGTGGTGGGTTGGCAGCTGTCTTCTGCCCGTGTTTTCATGTGGTCTTTCTTCTGTGTGTTCTATGTCCTGACTCCTCCTTTTCTAAAGACATCAGTTATACTGTTAAAACCCACCATAAAGAGCTCATTTTGACTTGGTTGCTTTTGTAAACACCCTTTCTCCAAATATGGTCTTAATCTGAGGTGCAGGGTCAGTACTTCAGGGTCCACATTTTGAGGAAAGGGAACCTAATTGAGCCCATAACAGCTTTTGGCTAAAGAGCTTTTCTGTTGGTCTCTCTGATCTCTTAGAGGAGAGGATTTTGTCTTAAATTTTAGATGAAAACTTTAGTGATGATGTTAGCCATCCTGTTTGTTTCCAGAAAGATATTAACATAATCCCTGTCAGGCCAGACTGGGAGAAAGCATTCTCTCTATCTCATTTCTTTCCAATGGCTGGCAGCTGATGTAACTGCAGGCAGGGTAGCTTCACTAAGCTATCTTATAGCAGGGATGGCAAGACGCATGCCCCAGAGCTCTTTGAAAATGTTCCACTCTTCCTTGGCTCAGTGCTCAGGCAGACACGCAGGCCTTCTTTGGGGCTTTCCATGCAGGAAGTATGCACGGGACAGCTGACTCCCTCGGTCTCCCCTGAGAGGTAATGACAGTTCTTTTGAGGCTCTTTCTCTCCATCCTGAAGATGTGTAAGGAAGTGAGTGAATAGTATGCATATAATACATGGATAAAAATTGAATTCTCCATGGAGATGATTTCTCAAAGGAAGTGATTATAGTCCCAAGAAGAAATATCACAATATATAGGAGAAAAGA